CAGGAGGCGGGGTCCGGGGCCGGCCCGCGAGCGAGGAGGCCGCGTTCCCGGGGGCCCGGAGGAGGTGGTCAGCGGGGAGAGCCTGGGCTGGGCCGGGGGCCGGAGGCCTAGGGGCGCCGGCAGTCCCGGGAGCTCCAGCCTCGGGCTGTCCGATCCACCCAACCTCAGCAACCTGGAGGAGTTCCCTCCCGTCGGCTCCGTTCCCCCCGGCCCTGCAGGGTGAGAACCGGCTCTCTCCTAGGAAATGGGGGGCCCTGAAGGCTGTCTTAGGGGCGTCTTTGGTCGGGCCGCGCGCCCCGCAGTAAAGCGTGAGGATGGCTGAAGGTTGGGGGTGAGGGAGAGTCACAAGGGACTGAGCTCTTGTGGTGGGAGGGGGAGATGCCTGAGAAGGAATTTGAGAGAAACCTGCGGCCACTCTCAGCAGGACCAAGCCTTCACGGAGGATCAATCCAACTCCGGTGAGCGAAGAGCGGTCCCTCTCCAAGCCTAAGACCTGCTTCACCTCACCCCCAATCAACTGTGTGCCCAGTGCCCAGCCCTCAGCCCTGGACACTAGCCCTTGGGGCCTTGGCCTTCCCCCAGGGTGCCGAAGTCTGCAGGAGGAGCGCGAGATGCTCAGGAAGGAGCGGTATGGCCTTCCTCCCTGTGGGGGTCCGCAGGCTGTTCCCTGAGGTCGGTTTGTCCCCTGGGGACCCTGCGTCTGTTTCCTGGGCTGTCGATGACTTCTCTGGAGGGATTGAGTGTGACTGTGGAGGGGAAGCCATGCTAACTGCTCATAACACTCCTCTGTCCCCACAGCTCTAAGCAGCTGCAGCAGTCACCTACCCCTGCCCACCCCACCCCTGAATCGGGGTCTCCCCTGCCCAGCCGGACAGGAAACCTCACAGCTGAACCTGCTGACCCTGCCAGAGTGTCTTCCTGCCAGCGCCTGAAGCTGGTAGCCCTTGTCTACTCCTCGTGCATTGCTGGTGAGTGAAAGCAGAGGGGGATGGAGTGGAGATACTTGCAGAAGTTCAGGGTCAGAGAATTGGTGAGGTATACGGAACTGAGCCTTGGCTCTGAATGGTGCCCAATACCCTGGGATTTCTTTTCATTTCTAGAAAATCTGGTACCAAACCTCTTCTTGGAGCTTTACTTCGTCCTTCAGCTCCTTACTGCCCGCAGGATGGTGGCTGCGAAGGATGATGACCTTGAACCAAGCCCAGGTGCCCTAGGTCAGTGGGCATGCCTCCTTTTGAGAAACGGGATCTGGAGACTGAACAATTCTTAGCTGACAGCTTGCTGCTGTCCTTCTAGATCCCCTGGAAAGTCCACTGTTTCAGAGTGTCCACGACTGTGTCTTCTTTGCAGTGGAGGTTCTGGAGCGTCAGTTTCAGTAAGTTCCTAACTGAGGGGCTGGAGCCGCATTCCCATTGTCCACTCTGTTCTCTGGCCACTTAGGCTCCGTGCTTGTGCTTAACGTAGGTGCGGTGGCCCTGGACCCTTCTTACCTCGAACTTCCATTTTGTGTCGGGCTTATGAATTTAGCCCCTAAAGGAGTCAGGCTGCATCGTGTGGTCTTAGCAGCTGACCTTTGGGTTTATGTCTAATGTTGAAGCCTTGCTGTCTCGCTCCCTGCTCTGTGAGGTCACGTCTCCTCCCCCTCTACTTCTGTCAGCTTTAATTCTTAGACAGTGATGCTGCCTTACGTACCTGGGTCTTGTCCCTGCTTCATGCTCAGTGTGGTACAGGTGCCAACTTGCTCTTCGCAGCCTGTGTCCCACTCTCACTTGGGTCTGCTCTTGTCCCTACAGGGTTCTTTGCTACCTGGACAAAGGGACGTTGAAGCTGTTGGCTGAGAACGAGCGACTACTGTGCTTCTCACCAGCTCTGCAAGGCCGCCTGCGAGCTGCCTACGAGGGCAGTGCTGCCAAGGTAGCAACGCGAGCAGAGCTGTCTGCCTGCCTGGATCTGGCCCTTCCCGGCCTTCATAATCCAGGCAGCCCAGCTCACGCCACCTACGCGTCACGTGGGCTAATTGTGGGCCGGGATAGGGTGAAGTTTTCTGAGCCTGACCCCTGCAGACTCTGGTTCCTGATGCCATTGCCATATTTTAGGTCTCTCTGGCCATGCCACCTTCTGCTCAAGCTGTCTCCTTTCAGCCAGAAACTGACAATCGGGCCAACTTCTCCAGTGACCGAGCCTTTCACACTTTTAAAAAACAAAGGTGATCACAAAAAGGGAACCTTTGGGGAGGGCCTGACATTTTCTCTGGCCTAGGGAGCTGTGTAGTTCTCACCGAAGTGGAAGTTTGGCACTGACCGGCGGTAGTTGAGCACACCAGGCCCTCCCAGGGGCCAGCTGTCAGGGGGCCACTTAGTTTCATGCCCATGGACTTGAACCTCCAACCTTAGCCAGCCATCTCATAGGTGTGTGATGTTAGTCATAGGGTTCTCATATAAGACAAGTGCTGGGATCAGCTTTCACTGTGCACAGAAGTGCATGACGCATGTGCTGCCGGGTCTGTAGCACTGTCACCACTTAGACGACTGGAGAGGTTAAGGAACGGCTCCGTGGGTAGCACGAGGCGGTCCTGTCCTCAGTGCTTCCGTGCTGGGGTAGGCGCTCCTGGGAGTATGAGGCGGCTGTGCCTCGGCTGCTCAGGCATTGGTGTGTATTTGTCAGGGATGTGTTTTATGAGGTGCTTCGAGAGTGGGAAGATCGCCACGAGGAGCCTGGCTGGGACTTTGAGAAGGGCCTGGGCAGCAGGATCAGGTAGGTGCTTACTGGTCGCTTCGGCTTGCTTGCTTCCTGTAGTGAGCCGCTGAGTGGTGCTTTTCCTCCACTCTTCCCAGCCAAAGCTGCTATCTTCTATCTTCCTTAATTTCTGTAGTTCTTTCTGATTCTGCCTCCACTCACAGGGGATGGACTTGTTTCTCCAGCCCTTTACCCTCAGAAAGGCCTCATACTTGTTCTATGATTGAGAATGCTCAGAAAAGCTCCAAGTTCTTAATTCAGGTTGCTTGAGTTTGGGTCCAGGTCACTGGTTAGACCCTTTCCAACCTCCACTTTCTCTGTCTTCTAGTAGAGTTAAGTCTGATAGTCTTGCAGAGTTAGATGACTATGATGCAGAAGGAATGTTCTCTGTCCAGTGTCCTACCCTCCACAGTGGTCATTGGAACGCACTGGTGCTTAGTGGGGACTAAAGACATGAGAGGTATCTCTGGCCTTGAGGGGTCCTGGTGCTGTGGGAGATGTTCCTTACCTCTTGCCATCCCCCTGTGCAGTCCAGTTCTGGCAGAGGTCTGCTCAGGTCCCTGGAGAAGCTGAAAAGCCCAAGGGCTGGTTGGCTGGCTCTCTTGGATCTTTCTCCCTCTTTCCTTACCCTCCTTTTCTCTCTCATTCCTTAGAGCCATGATGGGCCAACTCTCTGCAGCCTGCAGCCACAGCCACTTTGTTCGGCTCTTCCAAAAGCAGCTTCTCCAGGTAATAGCCACAGTAGGAGATGAATCTATGATGAACAGTAGGTGTTTTAGGCAGCCAAGTAATGGCTGGCTCTGCAGGATAGGGCAGATGGCTGTGTTGAAGTTTGAACAGGAGTTTACTCCTTGGGTGGTGGTTGAAACTCAGGAAGCCAGAGAGGAGCCAGAGTGTTCTCTCATAGGCCGGGAGCCCAGGCCTGCCCAGGCCTCCCTCACAGGCCCAGGAGTCAGATAGGCCTGGTTTCAGATCCTGGTTCTATCACTTTACTGTGGAGCAACCCTGGGCAAAGGCTACACCTGAATTTCAGTTTTGGTTTTCTCATCTGTAAACTAAGAATATAATCCCTACGTTGAAAAATGTATTTCAGGTATCTGACGTACATTGGCATTCCATAAATGTTCATTACTACCTCCTGATTTTGTTCGGTTCTTCTCTCCCACTTGATTTTAATTTAAAAATTGTTTAAATTGGTGTTTTAATTTCTTTCCTCTCTCTCCCTGCCCAGATGTGTCAGAGCCCTTGTGGGGCAGGGGGCACTGTCTTGGGCGAGGCTCCGGATGTGTTAAGTATGCTAGGAGCTGACAAGTTGGGGCGGCTGCGGCGCCTACAGGAACGACTTGTGGCCCCTCAGAGCAGTGGGGGGCCCTGTCCACCCCCAACCTTCCCAGGTTGTCAAGGCTTCTTCAGGGACTTCATCTTGAGTGCCAGCAGGTGAGGGCCACGTCCTGTGGGGATTGGGGGTGGGGTGGTGGGGAGCAGAGGAGGTGTCTTCCCAGGGAAGGCAGCACCTTTCCTTCCTTTGCCTGGACTGTAACGGGCTGGGACTGTGATCCTGCTCCCGTCAACTCACACTTCATTCTTTACTTCTCAGTCTCTTGCCCACATCAGTAATTTGATTTCTCCGTGGCCTCGCCTTCCTACCCAGCTGATCTTTTCTGTCTGGAGCGCCTCTTCTCTAGCTGGTTCTTCCTACACCTCTCCAGTGCCCCTCTTTTTTGCCCCCCTCCCTAGCTTCCAGTTTAACCAGCATCTCATGGATAGTCTGAGTGTGAAGATCCGGGAGCTCAATGGCCTGGCCCTGCCGCAGCACGCGCCAAGTGACGAGGACGGGGAGTCGGACGTGGACTGGCAGGTTAGAGAGCAGAGCCAGGGGAGTGATAGGGCTCTGGCCTGGGAGGCCAGGAGTGGTTTTAATAACTTTATAACACATTTGGAATTGTTCTAGAAGCCTTGTGTTTAGGACCTTTTATTTCCCTTGGTCCCCGACAGGGTGAACGGAGGCAGTTTGCTGTGGTGCTGCTCAGCCTGAGGCTTCTGGCTAAATTCCTGGGCTTTGTGGCTTTCCTGCCATACCGGGGGCCTGAACCACCCCCGACCCGGGAACTTCAGGACTCCATTTTGGCCCTCAGGAGCCAGGTGCGTAGGGGGATCCTGGCCAGGACGGAGCTGGCAAGAGCAGCAAGGCCCTGAAGTTGACTGGTTTCCTTGGCCATTCAGGAAACCAGGCAGGTTAGAGAGCATTACTCAGCCCCTCCCAGGGGCCCGCCTGCCCACTGACTGGGCATTGGCCCCACCAGGTCCCCCCAGTCCTGGACGTGCTGACTCTGCTGCGGCAGGGGCTGGGGGCCCGTCGAGCGGTGCTCACCGTGCCCTGGCTGGTGGAGTTCCTGTCTTTCGCTGACCACATTGTTCCCTTACTGGACTACTACCGGCGCACCTTCAGTCTCTTGCGGCACCTGCACCGGTGAGTAGAGGAAAGAACGTGGGGGAGCACACTGCCGGGACCCACTGTTCATAAAGAGGGCTGAGCCGTCTGTGCTTTGTGTATGGCATCCCTGCGATCTGAGCCGCAAAGGGAAGGCAGGATTTGGTCCACACAGACAGACAGTGGGCAGTTCCTCCCCCAGCTGCGGCCCAGCCGAGAGGGCCGGAACGTGAGGAGGTCCTGTCCCCCACACGACTGCAGTCCCTGTGAGGGCTGTTTTGAGAATTACCTCCCCACTGATAGCTTTCTTTTACTCCATTCGGTTTCTTTCTTGGCACAAACTCTGCTGTTACTCTCCATTCACCTTTTAGGAGCTTGGTCTTATCAGAGGAGAGTGGAGGGGAGATGTGTTTCTTGAACAAGCTGCTGCTCCTTGCTGTCCTGGGCTGGCTTTTCCAGGTTGGAAGGGAGCTTCCGAGTGAGGGAGGGCTGTGGCTGGAGATGGGGGAGGGGTGCTGTCGGAGTCTGAATGAGGCAGGGCCAGAAGATGCGGTTCAGGAGAGTGTGAGAATCAGCATAGCTTCAGAGGAAGGTTGCTCTGAACCTAGAGCCTAAACCCTAGGGCCCTGAGGTTGGAAGGTTTGATGGGTTTCTGAGGGACTGCCTGGAACTCTGCCCACATCTGCCAGATTCCCACCGTCCCTGAGGACTTGTTCTTTCTGGAAGAGGGTCAGTTGGATGCCTTGGAAGTGGACACAGTAGCCTCAGAGCATGGCTTGGTAAGTGGGGGGTCCAGCCAGAGCACTGGGGCGTTGTGGGAATGAAGGAGACACACCAGGATAGGCTGGCCCCTGGTGGGCACGCTGGGAGAGATGCCACGCCCGCCACCTTCCCAGCTCTGGCCTGTTCTCCCCCAGGACAGCATGCCTGTGGTGGACCAGCAGCTGCTCTACACCTGCTGCCCCTATATCGGTGAGCCTCTCAGTCTCCCCGGGGGTTCCTTGGTCCTTATCCTGTCCTTCACAAGTACCCACAATGCTCCCCGTGGGCCCCACACCCCACACATTGTTCTGTTCTTAGGCATTCCCCAGGTGCGTCAGACTCTTCACTCCACAAAGTCTGAGATGCTTGGGGAGGGGGGGTGGGGGGGGGCTGGAACGAAGAACTTGGGCTTCCCTGATTCAGGAGAGCTCCGGAAACTGCTTGCTTCGTGGGTATCGGGCAGCAGTGGGCGGAGTGGGGGCTTCGTGAGGAAAATCACCCCCACCACAACCACCAGCCTGGGAGCCCAGCCTCCCCAGACAACGCAGGGGCTGCAGGTAAGAGGCGGGGTAGAGGGAGGGGGCAGCCCAGTGGGGAAGAGAAGGCCTTCTTGACGGAAGGACGCCTTTACCACACTGCTCCCACCACCCCAACAGGCACAGCTGGCCCAGGCCTTTTTCCACAACCAGCCACCCTCCCTGCGCAGGACTGTGGAATTTGTGGCAGAGAGAATTGGATCCAACTGTGTCAAATACATCAAGTAAGAGTGGGTTGGGTGCGGGGTTGGAGCTGGTGAGGGGCCCTCTCATTCCCCTGCTGCCAACGGGGAAAGCCACTTGGAGGGGGTAGGAGGGAGGCTAAGATGGTGACGTTCTTTGAAAGAAGTTCTGGTCAGATTTTCTTGAATTTGTAGCCCCTTTCCAATTCACCCCTCCACCTCCCTCCAAACTTTGTCCCTCCTGCAGGGCCACACTGGTAGCAGATCTGGTACGCCAGGCGGAGTCACTTCTCCAAGAGCAGCTGGTGACACAGGGACAGGAAGGGGGAGACCCAGTTCAGCTGTTGGAGATCTTGTGTTCCCAGCTGTGCCCCCATGGGGCCCAGGCACTGGCCCAGGGGCGGGAGTAAGAAATGCCCATCTGTGTGGCCCCTCGCAGCTCCCTTTCCATTCTCCTCTTCCCTTTTATTTTTCCTTTTCTCTCACGCTCGCGACTTGTACTTCATTTCTGCTCCCTCCCCCTTTTTTCCATTCTGTGTGTTTCCTCCTCTTTATGACAGAGTCCTGACGAACTGGAAGAGTCTGGAGGGCAGTAGGGTGGGCGGCGGGTGGGGCGGCAGGGCTGACAGCCTGGGGCGAGCCCGCCCGCCCAGGGCTGGGTGGTCTGGTGTTCACGTCTGGGACACGCCGACCTCGTCCTCTTCCTGCCTCCGTCTCCGTTCAGGTTCTGCCAGAGGAAGAGTCCTGAGGCTGTGCGGGCGCTGCTTCCGGAGGAGACCCCAGCCGCTGTACGTAGGAAGCCGCCGTCTCACAGGCCATAGGGCTGAGGGGCGGGTGGTGGAGAGGAGTACTCGGGGCGTGTGTGCCCGTGCGTGACCCCAGTCCCTGTGCCGCAGGTTCTGAGCAGCGCGGAGAGCATCGCTGTGGGCCTCGCCATGGAGAAAGCCTGTGTGTGGCTGTCAGCCAACATCACAGGTGAGGTTTCCAAAGTGAGCTTGCAGGGAGTTGGCGGCACTTGTGGGGAGCTGGGCCTCAGAGCCTGGCAGAACCGAGAAGGGCGTGGTGAGCCCATCCGGGCGGGGCCGCCCGTGACCTCTTTTCTGTCCTCCCTCTGCCCCACAGCGCTGATCAGAAGAGAGGTGAAAGCGGCACTGAGTCGCACACTTCGAGCCCAAGGTCCTGAGCCAGCTGCCCGGGGGGAGCGGAGGGGCTGCCCCCGTGCCTGTGAGCACCAAGCTCCCCTCCCCTCCCACCTCATCTCCGAGATAAAAGTACACAGTTCCCCTCCTCCTTTTGGCTTCCCTGCTCCCTCTCCCTCCCCCTGCGTGGTCTCCTTCCTTTCTCACCTCACTGCCAGTGTTTGGGTGGGGAGCCTTCCTGCGCTGTGCAGATAGTTGGGCTTTCCTTTTGACTGAAGGCGTATTACACAGATGGTGACGGGAGCTGGGTGGCTGTACGGTGTCGTAGAGTCTCCTGGGGGACAGTCACCCCACTGTTGGGATATGATTTCAGAAATGTTTTATTTGGCAGTAATAATAAAATGTCAGTTCTGTTAATTTGAGTTTAAAAGTTCAGAGACTGTCCAGAGCAGGAGCCAGCAAACCAGGGCCCCCAGGCCAAATGCAGCCCCACCACCTGTTTAGGTAGATAGTCTTACTGGAGCATAGCCGCTCTTACTCATTTACGTAATGTCTGGGGCTGCTTTTGTGGTACAGCAGCAGAGCTGAACAGTTGTGACAGAGACCTAAGGCCCACACAGCCTAAAACACTGACTAATCGCCCTGGTCTAGAGCCTTAGTCTCAGTTTGGAAGCACTGCTGAAACCTGTCCACCATGGGTGACCCTGCTGGTATCTGAAATACTGGTAGCACAGCTTCTAGCATCACAGCAACACACAAGTCCCCAGAGGAGGGACCAGTCCCTGGAGAAGGACATCCTGCTTGATAAGGTAGAGGGTCAGCGAAAGAGAGGAAGCTCCTCAACAAGATGAACTGACACAGTGGCTGCAATGATGGGCTCAAGCATAACAATTATGAGGATGGCGCAGGACTGGGCAGTGTTTTGTTCTCTCATCTGTAGAGTCGCTATGAGTCAGAACCAGCTTGACGGCACCTAACAACTGGTCTAGAGCAGTAGCCGAGGAATGACGATTTGCAAGGGGGACTGAGGAGGAGTGACTATAAAGGGGAGACTGTACAGGGGGAAGGAAAGCCTGAGTGACTGTCAGAATCTGGTTCTGTACAGAAACCTCAGCTCTCCTGAGATGGACAGAGAAGCACAAGAGAGAGAGAAAAAATACTAAGACTGTACCCTCCAGCACAGATGATTCAGAGGTTTCCCTGATGTTCTAAGAATTGGATGGCCTCTGGGAATTGGTTAGGTACAGTTTTGTCCCAAGTTGAGTGACATCTCGAGATCTCTACCAGCCGTGCCCTGCCTCTGACAGCGTATGGCCCTTCAGCTGCCTGCTCATCTGTTCCCTCTCGTCCACATGGTTGCTTTATCGGCTCTGCTGTCTTGCCCGAGTCCCAGGTGTAAGGAGTCACTTGACCCCAGGGCCCTGTCTTTTCTCTCTGCCTCTCTCCACTGGCCAACCCCACCCTAAGCCTGGTTCCCTGGCATCCTAGTCCCGTGTGGTCTCACTGTGTCCCTTCCCTGCTCTCCAGGATGTGCTCTCTCTGGCTGTGGGGCCCCGAGATCCTGAGGAAGGAGTTTGCCCAGAGCATCTGGAGCGACTCCTCAGCCAACTGGGCCAGACGCTGCGGTGTCGCCAGGTGAGACATGGTGTCTTCCACACAGGACGCTTTCCTTGCATGTCTCTGTCTAGTGCTGAGGACCCAGAGCCTGCTGGGCTCAGGGCTACAGCTCTGAGGATGTGGTGACGGCGGCTCTCCCTTTCTCCGCAGTTGCTGTGCCCACCTGCTGAGCAGCAGCTGGCAAAGTGCTCGGTGGAGTTAGCTTCCCTCCTTGGTAGGCTTCCTTTTTATCAAATGGTTCTCTTGCTAGACAGCCCAAATCTCAGGGTCGGGTATGAGAAGATGAGAAACGCAGAGCCCTCTTCTGCCCTTTCTCCACGCAGGGGCTGGCCCGGCGGCCCTATTTCATTTCCTAAAGGCTGGCTTTCTTCTCTTTCTGTAGTTGCAGACCAAATCCCTATCCTAGGGCCCCCCACACCGCACAGGCTGGACAGAGGGCAGGCTCGGAGGCTTCTGCACGTGTTGCTCGCCCTGTGGAAGGACGACTTCCAGGTGCCGGTTCCACTTCAGCTGCTGCTGAGGCCCAGAAACGTGGGCCTTCTGGCAGACACACGGCCGAGAGAGGCGAGTCAGAGTGTGTGGATGGGGGTCCAGAAAAGCTGCTCAGCTTTCTGCAGTTACGTTCTGAGCCCACCACCCTCACCCTGTGGTTTGGGCTTCTTCCCTTTATTCCCCCTCAGCTAAAATGGACTCCCTTATCTCCGGCCTCCTCTCCTTGGCAGCTCTGTCCATCAGCAGGGACCTGGTGCAGTTGTCCTCCTCACAGCCCTGACATCCTCCTCGGTGTGTTTTGCAGTGGGACCTGCTGCTGTTCCTGCTCCAGGAGCTGGTCGAGAGGGGTCTCATGGGACGAACGGAGATAGAGACCTGCCTGGGCAGCCTCCATGAGGCCCAGTGGCCAGGGGTAAGGAGTCCTGTCTCCTCTTAGTGAGCAGAGACTAGATGGATACTTTTGTCCCAAAAGGGGTCAAGTGATGGGCCTGGCATTCTTAGGATTTTCTCAAAAGCTAAACAGTCATAAGGACCACCTGGAACTTGAGGTGTGGCTGCTGTGGTCACCGTGAAGGGCTGTGTCAGTAGAAGAAGGGAAGGTGGGTGGTTGGCTGGAAAGCAGCATGGTGCTGTGAGTGTAGCTTTCTTACATCAGGAGAACCTGGATTTCATCTCAGCTGGCACTTAAATGTTTTTGTGATTTGGGACAAAGTAATGTTTCTTTATCCACAAAATGAGAATGACAATTTATACCTCCTAGGGTTTGTGTCGAGGTGAAATAATGTGCAGGAGATGGTCTGGCACATGAGTACTCAGTAGGTGGTAATTGCTACCACAGCCAAGAGTACTCTTGGTTCAACATGGTGTCACAGTGGAGCCGGGTCTCCCGGCAGAGCGCACTCACCGCCTTCACCTTTAATGCTCTGGGACAAAACTTCAAATCTATCTCAGTGCAGAAGGCAGCGGGGAAAAAATAACAGCTAGTTTGTCTACTCACTGGTTAGTGAGGGCTTTTTAGGTGAAAAGATGAACCTTTCAGAATTCTATCTGCCTTCTCTATCATCTTTCTTATTCATGTTCCAGGACTTCTCTAAAGAATTAGCAGCTCTGTTCAACCTGTTTCTAGCTGAACCCCACGTGCCAGAACCCCAGCTAAGAGCCTGTGAGCTGGTACAGCCAAACCGGGGGACTGTGCTGGCCCAGAGCTAGGATGAGGTGGCCCTGCCTTGGGCGTCTCACCAGAACCTGGGAACCCCATCTGCCTGCCTCAGGAGGAGGCTCAAGAGCCCAGTGCCAGCCTGCGTGTCCACTTCTGACCCTTGCTGCTGCCGCCCTTTCCCTGAGGGTACGTGAGGGAGCAGTTGGGTCTGACGTGATCAGATTTCCTGCTCAGATGTGAAGGAAACGTGTGGCTGCTCAGCACCGCACCGTCAACTGCAGGCTGCCGACCAGATTCCTAGAGCAAGGAGCCGAGCTGAGCCTCCATTCCTGGAGGAGGAGAATTGGCGCTTATCACCTGGATACTGAATGATGTGCGTGGGCTTGCCGGCAGAAGGTTCAAGCCCCACTCGCTGCTATCCCAGCATCTCTTAAAACTTTGTGGTTTGGGGAAATCATGACAGAAGCAAATAATTTCTTGCTTAACTTGTGAGGAAGGTTGAAGCATGAATTTTGGGTGTCTATTTTCTTACCACCAGGAGCCATCTTAAAAAGGCACAAGAGAGAAGCTAGGACGCACAGACAGAACCGTGCCTTTACCCTGTAACTCCCCACCTTCAGCCCCTCGCAGTAGGGACTCTCTAGAGCTCCTATCCAAGGACAGACCATTGGAGCTTTTTTAAATAAACTGTTTTCTTTACCAAGGACTTGATGTTATTTTCATGTCTTTTGACTGAGTTGGCAATGGCCTGGCTGTGTGGATCGCAAGCTGAGTTGCCCGGCCTCTTAGCAATGCCCACACATTCTGTTATATGAGACCCTGAGCCAGAGAGCCAGTCCCATCTATTTCCAATAGTGCTGACTTCGAGCAGCTGGCCCAGAGTGCCCTTTCATCTGTGGGAGGAAGGTTTAGGACCATGTGCAAAGACGCTTCCTGTTGAACCAGATGGCAGGGCAGCTCTTGCTGTGCTTGTTTTGTTGGGCCTGCGTGTTAGCTTTGCATTCCACTTCAGGATTTAAGTTGTTTTTCAAGACCATGTCTCTGTCAATGAGCCACTGATTCTGACCAAGAAGGCAGTGAACTCACATTACTCTGTGCCATGCGGTAGGTTCATTCCTTCTGAATCCGTGGGGACAGATTCCGGCTCTGTTTGGGGATGTGGAGGGTGGTCAGTGACCCTCCTGAAGTGGCTGGCGAATCCTAGTCTGTACTCATCTGCGTGTCAGAGAGGACTGTGGCCCGAGGAAGGTTAAGATTCTCCAGGCTGAGATCCACCTGTGTGACCACAGCAAAGCCGGAGGATCATTGGGGAGCCCTTAATTGCAGTAAATCCCATCACAGTAAAAGTAAATGCGGGTGTTTCTCAGCCACCACTTCGTGACTTTCTGGGTGGGCCCAGTCAGACCACGCCTTTCCTCAGCCTCACCCTAATCACTCCTTTAACAAGCTGAACCTTTTTTCCTAATCCTTCACTTTCGAAGGCCTTTACTTTAAATCCAACTTATACTGCAGCAAACTTAGAAAGTTTTGAATGTCTGGGAACCAAAAAGGCATTAAGCGTGGTTGAATTAAAGCATCACCTCAGAAAGCTGGGAAGGCCCAATGGTAAGCAGCAGCCTAGCGGCTACGCTGACATGTTTCAGACGACACAGCTGAGGTGGCCACGTTAACGTGTTCCAGACGACACAGCTGAGGTGGCCGCGTTAACGTGTTCCAGACGACACAGCTGAGGTGGCCACGTTAACGCGTTCCAGACGACACAGCTGAGGTGGCCGCGTTAACGTGTTCCAGACGACACAGCTCACAGCTGAGCGTGAGACGGGCCAGGCAAGCGAGGAGAGGAAAACCGTTGGCCACATGGTTGCTGCAGTTGAGGGCTCCACAGCCCAGGCTTAAAGTTAAAAACCAAATTCTTGGAACCATGAATGGAAGTTAACTCTCCAAATTCAGGAACTTTCCTGCTGGCTGCCCACTCTAAGCAGTAAAATAAGAGGATTATGGAGACAAGCAGCGACTGCCCTGACACTCCCATAAGGGAGTTCAACTAGTGAACAAACGAGATTCCACTCTACGGTTCTGCTGTTCACTGTCTAAACCAGTGGTTTTCCAAATATGGTCCTCAGCATCAGCATCACCTGGGAACTTGTCAGAAATACAAACACTTGGGCCCTACAAACTCCAGGGCTAGGACCCAGCAATCTGGGGTGCAACACGCCCTTCAGGCGATTTCAGAAGCACTTCTCTGAAATCTGACTTCGCTGTGATTATTTAGAGCTGGTGCCTGGGTCGCCGCCTCTCACACATCCACACTGTGCTACGAGACCAGCTGCGTGTTACTGTTGGTCCTTAGGCTGAGGTCTGGAGGGCGGCTCCTCCGGTGAGGAGGTAGGATCATCTCTGGGCCCCCACACATCCCCATTCCCATACATGGCTTCCTGTCCAGGGTCTTCCTGCCAGGGCATCGTGATCACTGCCAGGTGTTGCAATGACTACTCTGGAACCTTCCCGTGTTCATATTTGGGCTGCAGCCGACCACAGCTAGGCCGCTCCTCTGGCTGCTGTTTACCAGAGCAGAGCAGTGTCGAGCTCATGGGAGGCGCTCAGCACATTAATGTAAACGGAACGGCTGAAGTTGGGCCATCTGAGTGGGCACCACCATCATGACCTGCAGGCTACATCCTGCTGAGCTCAGAGGACACACTTGGGCCAGCCTGAGATGGTCTTCACTGAATTACACACAACACTAAATTCACCAGTGTTCGGACCTTTTTGGTCAAGAGTCTTAGAGATTTATATGAAAAGAAGTAGGAAGGACATAAATAGAGTGTTAAATATATCGAGTGTTACAAAAAACTTAACCACAAAAATAAAGTTTAAAAGCAATTTTAAAAACCTTCGATCAATAATATATAAATAACTTAATCTGAGGTCATAGGAAAAAAAACTGCAAAAACTTCTAGAAAAATAAATCCCTGCTGCACTATACAGAAAATGACCTTCCTCACCACATCTCGGTCCCCACAAGGCACCCTCTTCCACCAAAGATTCCACCAGAACTAAAGATGGAAATCTCCTGCAGCCCTGAAGGCTTAAGAGACCGCTGGCTCCTGGGCCTAAGCCTCTGAATGAGGAGAGGGGAGGTACAGGATCGAGCTGCCTCCTAGCAACTCACTCACCTGCTAGAGCTTCATACATCTTCTCTCCCAGCTTCAAAGGACGATTTCTAACCTCTCTGAATTTCCTCTTGCATTGTCAGTAGCCAGCATCTGGCTGTCCCCACCCGACCCTGACCCAGACTGTGTCCAACCTGCTTTTCAGGGCCACAGTGGTCCTGAGCGGCCCCTTCCCATCAAGAAGCTTCAGAGCAACAGCTCCAGAGCAGGGCACTGTCAGCTCTGCTGACTGATGCCAAGGCCCAAACATCCTCTCCTATGAGGGAAAGGAAGAGGGAGAAAAAACCCAAAAATCAGTAATAAAGCATTTTGCAAAAATTCAAGGAGAAAAGATTCTGAATCTGTTTTCTGGTCTGTGCAGCTGTGTTTTAAACTTTTTCTGTTCTGGTGTTGTCTACCACCCCGTTCTGCACTGGAGCTCAACTCTGGAGGCAGCTTCGCAGGAGTCTCAGCCAGAACTGCCTGCTTCCCTGCAGGCCAGTGCTGCCCAGAGCACCGCAGGCCCCAGCTCTGCTGGCTGCACCCAGTCCTGGGCATTGGGCAGCTGTCTGCCAGGAGGCCCCAGAGACAAGGAGTGAAGGTGAGAAATCCGAAGGGTGAACTGAGCTTCACTCGCCCTGGACGGCCACGGCCAGGGGCTCAGGGCCCTCGCTCTGCAGTGGTGCCAGCTGTGACCAGGGACTGACTGGGCTTCACTGGCAATGTGGCCGGAGTCCTGTCTGTCCGGTCATCACAGCAGTCACCTCAGCTCTTGCATCAGGACAAGGAAAGCAAGAAGCTGCCGCAGCGTCTCTCCGGAGCACCATCTCGATGACGACGCGCTAGCTACCAAGGAAGGCGGCCAGTCTGGCTATGACCAGGGGTTGCTGTTTGATGAAGGCGTCCCGGAGCCGAGGGGCAAAGCCCGGAGCACCAAGTTCCACCTGAAGTGAAGCAGAGAGAGAGAGTTCAAGTGCACGGCAGGTACGCTGCAGCCGCAGGCTGTCCAGATGGGAGAAGCCCCTCAGCCTGCTGCTGTGGAGCTGGCCGGCGCTGGGCTCTGTTGTTCAGACCTAAGTGGGACCTCCGAAGGCAGAAGTCAAGTTGGGGTGCGAGTGGAAAGCCTCCAAATGGGTCATCTCCCTCGCGCTGCTGAAGCTGCTGCTTTTAAACTGCAGTGAGCCATCCACCTCGCAAGGACCCTAGGACATGGGTCACCAGGCTCTCTGGTTACAGCAGCGGCAGATTCCTTCCTCTCGGATCTCCCACTGACCCTCTTACTGCTGACCCAAGAAGCCCTTCAGCCTCCAGCTCTCAAAGGTCACCCCTAAGGCAAAGGGTCTGCTCACTGAGTCCATGGGGGTCAGACCAAGGCCCTCAGCAGGTGGCTGCTGGGGTGTGTTACCTGGGCCAGGTAGATGACCCTGGTGACCTCCTTCCCTTCCATGGTGAGGGGCTGCAGGATCCAGGCGCTGGGCAGGATCTCCCCTCGGACCACTTCTCTGCAAGGTCGTGGCATGGACGTGTCATACACAGACTGAGCTGCCATGATGGACAGGTGCCCCTGGGGACAGAGAAGGATGTGACCCGCCTACGTGATGGGAAGGGAACACGGAAAGGCTGAAAAGTAGTGAGGGCCGTGGAAGGCAGCAGTGGGCCAGCCCTCAGGGAAAGGTGAGGGCCCTGGAAGGCAGCAGTGGGCCATCCCTCAGGGACAGGTGAGGGCCCTGGAAGGCAGCAGTGGGCCAGCCCTCAGGGACAGGTGAGGGCCCTGGAAGGCAGCACTGGGTCAGCTCTCAGGGAAAGGTGAGGGCCGTGGAAGGCAGCACTGGCCCAGCCCTCATGCAGCCCGTCCGCCAGCCCCAGCCCAGGCCCAACTTGCTCTCCTTCCCCAGAGGCCCTGACTGCCACGGAAATTGCTTCCCACAGTGTCTCTGCCACCACCAGGTACCTCTTTGGCTTCCACACAGACACAGCAGAAATCCCGCGGCTGCTTCAGTGCACACAGGGTGGTACTGCACAGCAGGTACACTGAGGGGGCAAGACGAGGTAGAGTCAGGAGACACGGGACAGACGCTGGCCGTTCCCGGCCCAGGACTCTCTCTGCCACCCATCACTCGCGGCCTGACACCCAGCCAGACCTCCTAGCCTGAGAAATCTGGACGTAGTGCAAGTATCTGGCCTCCGGGGGCTGCCTCCAACCCTGCTCCCTCTGTCCCCGGGCCAGGGCCCGCTGTATACACCAGAGACCGGGCCCCAGGGACACCTTCCCTGGGCTCACCCAGGCTGATGCTGTTGGTCACCCGCTGGTGCAGCCGTGCTGTCTGGATGGGCTTGTGATACAGGGGCCACAGGGTGGGATCACTCACAGCTGCCCACACCTGAGGCAGCGGCTGGGACACCACACCTGCCCCCAGGAATCCGTGCCGAGTAGCGGAGAACGCCTTGTAGTACAGCTGCACCTCCTGTTCCTCACCCTGATAGCTGGCGGACACCGAGAGCGAGGGAGACAGGGAGGTAAGAATGGGCTCCAGGGATCACAGAGGAGGAGCTTGGGGTGAGGGTCTCATGGAAGCCAGGGCAGAGGAGGGACAGGAGACGTGAAGTCGGGCAGGACAACAGGGTTAGGACCCAGACGCTGTGCAAAGAAACTTACTTCCAGCCAGCGGCTGCCTGGCAGATGAAGAGGTTGTGCAGGTTATCTGAACAAGCGGCCATTACCTGAGGACACAGTGGCCATACCCAAATCAGTAGGCACAGACAGACGGGGCCCTGGCTGGTCAGTCTGGCCAGCGTGTACCTATTCCTTTTCTCAAGATGGAGAGCCACTGAAGGAGCCCACGCCAGCTGTGGTGGCCCTCATCTGCCCTTCTCCTCCTCTCCCTTCCTTCCTCCCTGCCATGACCCCTACCCAGCAGAGGTCTGGTTACAGGAGGTGGGGAGAGTGGGAGCGTTTACTCACATCAGCCACAGAGATGTCCACGATGTGCTTGGCCAGGTCCTGGTAGGAGGTGGAGAAGGAGGCCCTTGAGCTGGACAGGCTGGATGGGGAGCAGCAGCAACTGCCCAGGGAGGCTCCGTGGCCTGCAAGCAACGGGCTCAGATGGCACGGGACAGCGGGGCCTCAGGAAAGCAGCTTCCCAGCAGTGATAGGATGAGCCCCCAGAGTTCCCAGACCACCCTGCCCGCCACTCACTGTAGGCTGAGCTCTTCCAGGAGGGCCCAGCCAGACATGGGTGACGGCTCCTCCTCACTGCAGGGTGGCCCCGCCCATCCCCCATCCAGGCATCTCTGGAGTCAGACAAGTCTGTGTCCACCTGCAAACAGAGGGTGCTCAGGGCCGGGGCGGAGGGAGAGAGCCTTGAAGCAGGCCCAGAAGCACGTCCTCTGTACCTGAACGCTTCTAGCATAATGGCTCAACTGAAGAGCTCATCCCTGTACTTAACTACAGGAGGCCGGATGCCCGCAGGAAGTCAGCAGCAGCAGAAACCAGTCCCTGGACAACCTCTCCTCGCCCTGCAAGCCACAGACCCAAAGGCTGGGTAGGAGACTTCCAACGGCGATCAGAACAATAAGGGGCCCGGCAGCCTGCCAAGGGGGAGGGTGTCGGGGCAGAGGCTACTGCAGCAACGGGGTAACAGTATGAGGCCAGGCTGCAGCCAGCTTCAGGGGGGCAGCACACAGAGCCCAGGGGCAGGTGAGATGGAGAAGGGAAACGAGCCGACTACGACAAGCTGCACCCTTGGCCCTGCTCCAGCTGCAGCCAAAGGTCCGTCTGGGGACAGATGGGGATGATCCTCTGGATCTGCAACATGGCCTCCCCACCCTCACCTCAACCAGCTCCTCAATGACATGACCCTTGACCTCAGCTGGATCTAACAGGCGCCCACCATCCTAGCTCTATCATCGGTTCTCACGAGGGGGTGGACAGTTGTGTGTCCCTCCTCCCTCCTGCTCCACCGCGTGGGGGCCTCTCCTGCTGTAGCCAGGCCCTTCCCCGAGGTTCAGGCCTCCGGCAGCCCTCTCGGGGTCTCTCACTGCTCATCACCTCTCTTCCACTTGTTTCCTCCTCCACTTCAGCATCACTGGATCCTTGTTAGCACTGAAACACGCCAAGTTTCTCCTGTCTTTAAAAACCGTCTTTGATGCCACTTTTCCCTGGACTACAGCCTGCCCTGCTGTCCTGCCCGTCACGGTTAAACTTCCTGTTGCCCCTGCCATCCCCATGCCTGCCTTTCACTCACCCTGAGCCCACTCTAGACTGCACGGGCCTCATCCTTCCACAAGCAGCGGTCACCAAGGCCACCAGACGTCCATGCGGCTAGATCTGCTGAACTGCTGGTCCTCATCTGACCGAGCCCCTCAGCAGGAGTCAGCACGGGGACTCGCCTTTACTGGACATGCCTGCTTCCCAACTCCTCCGGCTCCTGGCCTCTGAATCTCTGGCTGCTGCTTCTTGCTTTCCTTTGCCGGCTCATCCTCCTCAACCATAAATTGGCATTTTGGAATTCTTTCAAGACTTGGGCCTGGGCCCTCTTTCCTCACTCGACAACTACTCCTGGGTAATCTCATCTGCTCTCACTGCTACACTGATGATGCCCAAAAATAGATCTCCGTGGATTAAACAGACATTGCTGAGACAACTGGGCAGCCGTCTGAAAACAGTTATATCAGAGACCCATCTCATACATCATGCTCCAATCAGACCTTCATGGATCCAAAATGTATAGAGGAGAAAAAATGAAAAACATTACTACAAGAAAACAAATTAAAAAAAAAAAATCCTTATAGTTGGGAATGCTTTTGTAAACCCGGCAGAAAATCCAGAAGCCATGAAAGAAATGGTTGATAAAAACCAGACAACACAAAATTAAAACTGTCCACATCGTAATAAATGCTATAAGCACAGTAAAAATATACAACACACTAGGAAAAAATACTCATCTCAAATGACAGAAAGGGGATAACTTTCTTAACATGAAGAAGTTTCCTAGAAAACCAAAGGACTAACGAACCAGTAGAGAAATGGGCAGTCACAGCAAGAGGAAAGGCAAAGGCTCCTAAATATCTGAAAAGACCCTCAAACTCAGACTCAAGAAGAGAACTGCAAGTGAAAACTAAAATGAAATTGTCTTTCACTTATCAGACTGGCAAAGATAAAGTAGTGTGGGTAACAGCACTTGCGTACACTGTTATCTGAGAGTGCAAACTCGTATAATTTGGTAATTAAAATTACCAAGTCTTAATTGAAAAGTAAAAATGTACATAACCCTTTGATGTAGTAATCTTACTTCTAGGAATTTAATCTACAGACATTCTTACACACAAGCAAATATATATATGGATATTAAATTAAAAAACTTATACCCAACCAAACTTTCATTTACATATAAAGGCAATAAATAGTTTCAAACATGAACTCAGAGAACATAGCAAATTAAAATAAAAAAATCCGTTGCCGCCAAGTCAATTCCGACTCACAGTGACCCTACAGGACAGCGAAGAACTGCTCTACAGGGGCATATAGGGTTTCCAAGGAGTGCCTGGTGAATCTGAACTGCCAACCTTTTGATTAGCAGTCGTAGCTCTTAACCACTGCTCCACCAGGGCTCCCATTAGCTGTTAAAAAAAACAAAACAAAACAAAAAAACCTGTTGCTGTTGAGCCAATTCTGACTCATAGTGACCCCAGAGGAGAGAGCAGAACTGCCCCCATAGGGTTTCCAAGGAGCAGCTGGTGGATTCCAACGGCTGGCCTTTTGGTTAGCAGCTGAGATCTTAACCACTGCGCCACCAGAGCTCCCATCAGCCATCAGGAGATGTAAAATCAAAACCACAATGAGATTCCACTTCTCCCGCACTAGAATGGCTACGGTAAAAAAACGGATAATAACAAGCGTTCAAGAGGATGTGGAGAAATTGGAACCTTCATGTATGCAAAATGGTACAGCTGCTGTGGAAAACAGTTTGGCTGTTCTTTCAAAAGGTTAAACATATAACTACCATATGACCCATCAATCCCAATCCTAGATATATACCAAAAATAACTGAAAGCAGGAACACAAACAGACATCTGTACACCAGTGCTCATCACAGCACTGTTCACAATAGCCACAAGGTGGAAACCACCTAAATGTCCATCAACAGACGAACAGATAAACAATGCAGTATATACACACAACGAGACATCAACCAGCCACAAAGAGAAATGCAGTCCTGACGCTACAACATGGATGAACCTCGACAACATAATGCTGAGTACAATAGATCAGTCACAAAACGACAAATTCTGGAGATCCCACTTCTGTGAAATAGGCAAATATATAGACACCAAAGCTTATTAGTTGTTGCCAGGGGCGGGAGGGAAGGAGAAAGGGGGAGTCATTGCTTAGGGGGCACTGAGTTCCTGTTAATGATGGCATAATCTGGAAAAGGACAGTGGTGATGGTTGCACAGTATGATGAAGGAATCAATGCCACTGAATTACTATACATGTAAAACTGTTGAATCGGCAAATGTTTTGTGATATGTATTTTACCTCAATTAAAAAAAGAAATTGCTAAATGAGGAATTAATAAAGAAGAACAAAGAATCAATGGGAAGGACTGGAAGTGAGCATTTAATCTAGAACAAGGACTAGAACAAGGCTGTGCATGCAAACGAATGACGCAGAAATACTATTAACTAAAAGGATGTAAAGGAAAAAAGGTGAGGTGATAGTGAAACTACACTGACCTCCACATGTTTTATGGCCAAAGTGAAAAGCTATCATTTAAAACTGCTAAATCAGGACTCTTTCAAGCTATAAAAGTGATCATCAAAAGAACCTGTTAAAAAAGTCTTCCAATTTATCAGAAAGGAGACACATGTACACCCCAAAGCAGAGAGAACCACAGAGCACATCGTGTGGATTAAAAAAATAAATAAATAAATCCCATGGAATAGTCATGACTACAATAAAAACTTCAACAACTTAAAAAAAAAATCATTTTGAGAGAGGCGGGGCCGAGATGGCAGAGTAGTCAGACGGCTTCCTATGTCCCTCTTACAACAAAGACTTGAAAAAACAAGTGATTTGATTGTATATGAACATCTAGCACCCCTGAACAAGGCAAAGTTGACGAATCGGACTGAGTGGCGGGGAGAGAGAGACTGTTCAGAAGCAACAGGGAGTTGCCTACCTGACCCGGCAGGAACCACAGCCCTTCAGCCCGGATCGGCTTGGGTTGCGCAGAGAGTCGGGCATATAGTTCGGCTCACTTGCTCGGGAGGCAGTTTCCACATCGAGAGAGATCCGGCAGCAGAGATTCTGATTGGACACTCCGAACCAGTGAAAAGCAGCACCCAAGTGGCTAAAGACAACTATATGCCTGTGGCCTTTCACAGGGATTTAAAAAAAAAAACCCACTTGTGAAATACCTCTCTCCCATTTACCTCCTTCCTCCCCGCTCCACACCAGGTCCGGCCAGCTTCAGCAATCTCTGAGTTGCCTGGGCCGGAAGTAGATCCCGTAAGGCACCATGACCCATTCTCCTGGCCTTGCAGAGGGAACAGATTAACAAACAGGGAAAAAATAAGCTACCAGCTCCCCTAAGGCAGGAACTGAGAGTTGCCACAGCTCCTTTACCTAGGCACATGCATAAGGGGTCTGCAGACTTTGAGTGCCTTCCACCCCTGTACAGACTTGTGTGGACCCATCTCAACAGCGTAAGCTCTCACTACCACAGTACAACAGGGTAAACACCTGAAGTCTAACTTCAACTGTTTCAGCTGTGAAGTGGCAGATTAGTGATGCTTGACACTGCTCTGCCCTTTAAGCAGGCACCTCACCTGTCCGCATCAGGGGCTTGAGGACTGGTGGCTCCACCCATGCCACCTAGCCACCTGCTACAGGGGTCCAAGAATAAATGGTGCCCCCTAGTCATTACAGCCAACAGAGTAGGGTACTCATAGTCCAGCTGCAAAACTCACCCACCTACCCGCTTGAGGGAACAGGGACACACTTTCCTTTCAGACACTCGGGCAGCTGTCAGCCCCTTGCCTTGCTCAGCGCGTGACCCCCTACTGCAGCCAGATACCTGTGCCTACACCAATTACCCATGCCTCTCTAAGACTGTAGGTGAGAGCCTGCACCACACACTTGTTGATTGACTGCCTGGACACCTAAGCTGAATCCCCAGAGGAAAATTTAACTGTCTCCTGGGCACACATACTTAGTTACAGACCTAACTACCTGTTGACAGGACGTTAGAGCTTCAAAAGCGCCAATAATCAAACTAGCTCACACGAGCAGCCTATTTGGGCATATCAAAACAAAA